TCGTATTAAACTGTCGAAGTCAAATAAAATAGGGCATGAATAAATAGTTTTGTACTTGGTACAAGTCTGGTCATTTTCGAACTAGTTCGGTTTCTGTCAGGGAATTCTAGTTGTAAACTAGTATTTTTCCTGACTAGTTTGGGATTTCACTGCAGGGTACGTACATTCATGCTTGCTGTGTTTTCTATTATTATTTTTGTAGTAGTTATTACGTGTATTATGTTGCTAGGTTGTTATATTGCGCGGAACAATTTGTCACAAATACTGTGTTTTTCTTTTAAAGCGCACATTCGCGTATATATACCTACTTAAAGGCTTAACACGCATACATGGGTACATGAATAAACTTGTATGCATGTATGCATGTATAAACCCTGCAAAAAATTGTGCGACTAATCTCTAAAGAGAGTATTCCGAGATTACTCTCAATCGGGTACAATTGGGCATTAATTAGTCGCAACTAGTCTCTTACGGGTACTAATGGAGGTCAATTAGTCGCGACTCATCCCTTATGGGTATAATTGGAGATCAATTAGTCCCCAACTCATCTCTAACGGGTACTATTAACGATTTAATGATATGTACGCACTTAGTCAATGAAATTTCATGTGCGGCGTTGGCTCGCAGAGAGCAACCTGGTTCGAATCTCAGCCGGCGCAAATTTTTATTTTCATTTTTTAAAAGTGACTAGTCGCTTTTTATACCCTTTCGGGTATAAAGGTGAACAATTAGTCTCTTCATAGGACATGCTCGAACAAAAGCGAACAGTTCATTCCATATAAAGAAATCAAAAGTGGTATAAGTCGCATGCTCCTTTGCGATTGCTCCCGGAGTCATCCCGGATTAGTCCCATTTTTTGCAGGGAAGGTATGCAAATACCTACACATACCCATGCTTATAGTGATGTGTTTACATTTATGTACCATGCGTCGTCAAGGAAGCACGCATGAAAAAGCCCACCAATTCGCTACGACGACGCCGCAGCACATTAAACATGCCCCAAATACATCAGTATTGCTAGCTGCCAACGAAAATACAAGCAAACAAAAAAGCTAAACGTTAAGCTAACAACTTGCAACACTTTAACAACTCGAAACTGCCAACTGGCGACACCACTCATTGCTTCTGCGTAATTGAGATTTTTTGCGCATAAACGGCTGCTTTATTGTCGGCGTTGTTGGTTGTTTTTTGTTTTTATGCCGTTGACTGCCACAAAGAAATTAAAAGTGATTACTTCATATAGCTTAACTGCCAACTCGCACATGCCACACCCGGCAACCCTTTAGCCCACGTATCGTTGGTAACTCGGTTATCGCTTGTTATTGCTGATGGCACGCAAAAACATTTATGTTTTCTTGTTTTGCTGCAAAAGTCTTGCGAAAGAAAAACGAAACGTATTGTTAGTGGGCGTGATGTTCTGGCAAGTAGTCCAAGTGGCATGTTGTCGCCACTTTTTTCTTGTTAATACATCGCTCGTGTACTTTTATTACCTTGGCAATATTTCCTCTTTGACTTTCATGTGGCGGTCAATGCTTGGCATGCATCATATTTTGTTGCCTACTTGAAGGCGCAAAACTTTCCATATTACACTCATACATAAATACATGCAGATGTAGCATGTGACTGGCGAAATATACATATGTATGTACCTACATTAGGGTGCATCACCGAAAAAGTTTCGATTTTTCCACCGTGTTATAAAATATCTTATATTTTAAGACTTCCGCCAAAATATTTCGATTTGAAAATGCCTCCAAAAATCGCGTTATTTTAATTCCGTTGCTAAAATTTTAAAATTTTTTTTTTGCATAACTCTTCCCTCATCTGAGGTGATTTTGTAGAAAAAATAATTTTGAAAACTAATTTTGATTATTAAAAAGTTCGATTTTGGTGATATTTTCAAATCACATAAATCTTAAATATTTTTCCGTAACATTTTGGCGGAAATCTTATGGCCTTATTCATAAAATATATAATAGGCTTAGAGAGCTCTGGAAAGTGACAGTTTCTTGCAAACAAAAAAACAAAACAAAGTCTTCTTTATTTTTTATGAATTTGGATGTTAAAATATAATAAGCTTTATACATATTTCTGATGGAAATAGAGTACCGATATATTTTTTTGGTATGTAGAGTGATGCACCCTAAGGCACACACATACATGCACAGACACATACATACATTTGCGTATGTTATTTGTACACTTTATTTCCCGTTACTATGTTTCCTTGCTGAATTTCATGCAAATGTATGCAAGTTGTGGTGTGTGCCACATCCCATCATTAACGTTGTGATTAGTGTACTGACCTCCTTCGTATTTAATATGCATAAATCCTGCAAATATGAGGCAATTACTGTACTTTTCTTTCCAATTTTTTACTGTGCCTTTCGAATGCAGGAAAGAGAGTAAAAATATTTCACTTTCTGTTGCATATTTCTTTATCTCTTTGGTAGGCCGAGGCCTCACAGGATACACTGCGTGCATTCGAAGTGTCTGCGATTCGTATATGTAGTAGATTTGCATACTTACAAGGTACTAATGAATAGTTAAAATCGGTGTATAATACCACATTGAGTGTTCGTTAAGAACTGGCAGACATCCAGACTGGAGGTTTTTGCCACTGGGCAGACTGTTCATCTGGTCCTGAAAAGCACGCTGACGAGAAGTCTCTTTATCTTCATAATATTGCACCGAATTTGACAGGGTCTGAGTTAGTAGGAAATGTCATCCAGCATTACTAGACAACGCGAACGACCTTCTCTACTATATTTGAATAGATAAAGAAATATTGTAATTATGAAAAGGCAAACAAAATATGAAAAATTATCGCAACATATGCGTATGTATGTACCTATATATAATCAACAATTTGTGATGTTCTTAGTCAAATTGACGTAACAAATATATGCGGCAGAGCGGGAATATGGCGAAGTTTAATGCTCTTAAGGCAATAATATTTACAATAAATCACTTGAAATAGTAGACAAAGTTAGTTAGTTTAATATTTTGGTGTGGCAGAACGCGAGACTCTACGGCGTGATAGATATTATGTACCCAAAATTCCCAAGAGACCTGCGGCTTCTTTAATAAATCCCAAAAAGGCCTTAGTATGCGAGTTATTCTTTAAAAAAAGGTTCAACAATTGTAGCTTTAAAATTAAAAAATAATGTTTGCCTAGTCAAGGCCGAACAATCAGAAAGAATGCATCTTGAAGTCTGATCGTCTTCAAGACAGAGTCGGCTTTATGACTCTGGTAGCACACATATCCGCTGCATAGGAAATTGTTTTCGGTTGTGATCAGTTAGATACACAGAGAGTAGCTTGATGTCATTTTTATTTAATAGAACCAAGCAACAAATCTATATGTATATATAATACGCGAAGGCATTTTTTGTTACGCAGAAAAGATCTGCATGGTTCATTCGATTTTCAAAAATAAAGTGTCAAATTAAAGCGCTTGACCTGTAGATGTGCAAACTGGTTTTATTTTTTCGAAAAGAGTTGCCACCTGTTGAACAATTAAAATCAAATTTTTCAATCATCAGTACCATCAAATCCGTACCGTACGTTCGGTTTCCAAAAGTGAGGTGTCAAATTAAAGGGCTCGGGCTGTAGATGTGCAGTAAGGATTTATTTTTTTGAAAAGAGTTGCCACCTCTTAAAAACTTATTTATATTCAAATTATTTAAAAAAAAAATTATCAATTATTCAAAATGTGTATTAATCGAAATGGTTTTGAAAAACTTTGGTTTTTAACTTACTATAGGAGGGTTGCCATCTGTTTAAAAAATAAAATTGAATTTGAACTAAGGGAAATAGTTAACAGAAGTATGTATGTATCACCATATAGGTACCAAACGAAAGGGGTTTCATAAAATAGTAGTTTGAAATTATTTTAAAGAGGGTTGCCACCTGCTTGAAATGTCGAATTTAGTTTTCCTTTACACAAGTTATATGAAACATCAAAATATGGATGTCAAGCGAAGGAGTATTGACAAAACTTTAGTTTGAACGCTAAGAATATTTTTGAGGTGTTGAGAGAAGGTTGCCACTTGTTTAAAAAGTTGATTCAAATTATTTATTAAGTTTAGGAAGTTTAATGAATTATTAAAATATGCATATTAATCGAGGACGGTTTGAAGGGCTTTTATTTCTTAACTGTATTTAACGGGGTTGCCATATGTTTAAAAATCAAATTCAACTTAACTCGTCAGTTAACTTAAATATGTGCCGCAATGTCAGGCAAAGGAGAGTTAACAAAGATTAAGCTTGAAAATACTTTTGAAGAGGGCTGCCACCTGTTTGAAATGTCTAACTCAATTAAATAATACAAAAAGTTTATGAAATATAAGAATACATTTTGAATCTCTGAAGTGGGTTGCCACGTGTTTAAAAAGATACATTCAAATTATTCAATTATTTACGAGTGTTGCCATTTGTTCGAACAATCAAATTCAAATTAGTTCATCAGTTTATTGAAATACATGCGTATCACAATGTCAGATGAAAGAGATTTAAGAAGACTTCATTTTGGGAATACTTTTGAAAGGGAATTTCAAAAACGAGAGTTCAAATTAAAGACCTTACCTGTAGATATGTGGTAAAGTTTATATATTTTTTTAATTAAGAACTTTTTTCTTCGGTATAGGGTGATTTGAAATTTTATGGAACTAAAAACATGAACAGGCTGCTCTTCACTGGCCCTCGGATCTCTTATAACTCTGACTAACATTTGGAAAGTTTTTGAAATTAAGTTTTGGGCGTTTTAACTCCATGCGGGTTCACTAGTAGAATAATAACAGAATAATATCCTTTCTGTTGAAAGGGCCGCCTGTCTATACCCCCCCACCACTGACTAGTACTTGCTGCGGTAAGAATTTACCCACTA